CCAACCCCCCCCTCCCCCACGCCCACTCACACATACAGTTTCAGCCTGTCATACGCAATTCGTTTCTGAAAGGAGAACGCTTTGTCAGGAAGCTACGAGATCTAGATCTATGCATTAAGGACTGAGAAGTCAAAATGTATGACAGATTTTCAAAAAGAAAATTTTTTTCTGCTCAAGACATAAGAAGGAAAAGACACTTTTCAAAGCGCTGATGAAAAAAGATTTACTAGATATATTGTGTATACATATATTATACCTTTTAATTCATAATAATAGTAATAATATTATTATTATTATGTTAAGTACATAATGCTTTCCAGAGTGGGCACACGCAGCCCCCGTTCGTTTACGTGGGTGACATCACTGCTATGAAACTGTAGTACATGAATGACGTATATTTGAAATATACTTGTGGAAGGTTGGAAAGTAGGGGGGGGGGTGTTAAATGATGTTTATATTTGGCAGAAAAGCATACAGACGTAGATTATTTTCAAAATTTTAAAACATTACAGCATCAGCAGCAATAAACTTAGTCGTTTTTATTATCAGACAAATTCAACTTCTTTTTTACACTCTCTCTCTCTCTCTCTCTCTCTCTCTCTCTCTCTCTCTCTCTCTCTCTCTCTCCATCTCTCACTCTCCCTCTCTCTCTGTCTCTCTTTCTTTTCTCACTCACTCTATCTCCCTATGCTCTTCCTATCTTCTCTCCCACCCATTCTCTCTCTCTCTCTCCCCCTTTCCCCTCTCTCTGTCTGTCTCTCTCAAATTAAAAGAAATATTTAAATTATGTCATCTAGAACGAATTTCAGTAGAAATTCATAATGACCATGGGTGTGTTGAAAGAAAGAAAGTAAGCCACCTCGCTTACATTATTGTGTTTATTATCACGATGGGAATAGTCCCGCTGCTCGAGATAGAGAGAAAAAAACTTCGATTTTCTGGTTTGTTCTTTCGTGTGGTCATCTCTAAAGGTCTTGTAATTAAATTCCTGCATGTGGTTGAATGATGTATCTGATGCATCTGTACATTTTGTTAGCTTTACTTCTCTTTTCATATTGAATTTTAATGAGAGTTATATTAAATTTAAGATTTCTACGTATACCTACCTGCATGTGTTTTTACGGTCCGGTACAGCCTAGAAAAATTTCCCTCTGGGATTATAAAGTATCATCTTATCTTTTATTATGTTAAAGACGTTGATGTTTGCTGTTGTTTTGGGGGATTCGTGTGTAACACGGACTCGCAGTACGTGGTTTTTGTCACAGCTACTTCTCCACGTCAGGATTTCGCCACCTTAAAATTACAAAGTTCTACCTGACATGTTTGTAATTGTCCGTTTAGAGTTATTAAGACCATGATTTCAGACACGGATTAGTGTTATGTCTGCTCTATCAAAATCGTAGGATTTTTCGGAGCCGTTTATCAAGATATTTTTTAAGAATTGCATTCGAATAAGCTTGACATGTGAAACTCATTTTTTTTTTTAACCTCACATTTTTCGAAACTAGACTGAGCAGATAGAACTTTGTAATACTAAGGTAGCGAATGGCTATAGCATATTAATATGATGCATGAGGGGTAATTGTACACTCCGACCTTCTATTCCTTAAATGAGATAACAACGTCTTTCTCACATGGCGTCACAGCAGCTCAATCGTGCCCACACAGAAAGTAGAGACTCCGGATGTGCGTACCAGGTCAGGTCAGCTCCACATAGACGACTAGAGTATCTTTTACCGATTTATGAAGAGAAAAATTGTTCTCTTTTTTATGTAAGAATAATAGCATTACGACTCGTACAAAACTACCTGCTGTGCTGGCGTTTGATTAAAAAATCTTTTTTTTTCAAAATATATTTATTTCCTTTAAGTAGTTAGAATTTGTGTTTCTTTAACTTTGCTTGCCTTATTTTTTTTATATATCTCCCCCCTTCCCCCCCCCCCCTCTAAAAAAAGAAAAGAAAAAAAAAA